GTTCAAACCCACCAAGCCACTCCTCGGAAGGAAGGTTGGGCAATCCTACTTCCGTAGTGATACTGCCTCGGAAACCCAAGGGAGGGTCGCTATGAGTCAGGGCCGACTCGATGGCAAACAACAACAACAAATCCTAAACCCTGTACCTGTGCTTAAGGAGCCTTGGTGGCACAGTGGTTAAGTGCTCAGCTGCTAACCACAAGGACAGAGGTTTGAACCCATCAGCTGGAGAAAGATGTGGCAGTCTGCTTCCAGAAAGATTAACTCACTGCCATCGAGTCAATTCCGACTCATAGTGACCCCCACTGGGTTTCCGAGGAGGTGAATGTTTATGGAAGCACATTGCCCAGTCTTCCTTCTGCAGAGTGGCTAATGGGTTTGAACCGCCAACCTTCTGGTTAGCAGTCAAATGCCTCAGGCACTGGGGCACCACAGTGCTCCAGAAAGATTCCAGCCTTGGAACTGAATGGGCAGTTCTGCTCTGTCCTGGGGGGTCACTGTGAGTTGGAATCAGCTTGGGCAATGTAGTTAGAGTAGGGTTATACCTGTGAGTGCTACCCCCTTTGGGAATAGATTTTCTTAGTTATCTTAGCAAGGCAGTCTCGAGCGTGGTGATAAACCTTTTGAGACATAAAAAGAGCAGATTAACTGAACAAGCAGCAGTAAGCCGAGACGGGGCAGAGAGATGCTACGCCATATGAAGGTCACCACGGAACCAAGAAACAGAAGCTGACAAGAGGCAGAGACCTTCCTCCAGAGCTGACAGAGACGGAAAGCCTTTCCCTAGAGCCAGTGCTTTGAATTCGGACTCTGCCTCCTAAACTGCGAGAAAGTAAAGTTCTGTCCTGGAAAGCCAGCCCCTTGTGGTATTTCTGTTACAGCAGCATTAGCTACCCGAGGCAGACTCATCTCCCCGTCAGTCCCTGCTCCCTCGGCACAGGTGTTCTCTCAGCACAGGGCCCCAGTGGGGCAGGACAGGGGAGAAACCCAAGCCTTCCATCAGCCAAGGGAGAGGGCTGGGGGAGCTGTGTACTGCTCGGCTAATGTGTGTCGGGGAGCCTTCCTGAAGGTTCTGCCTGGAGATGGGACTGAGTCAGTGAACATGGCGGAGGGACCTGTCCTCGAGCCTCAAAACTCAGCTGCTGCTTTGTGTTTAAAGTTGATTGATTTTATTTATAAAGTAGCTTTTCACACGGAGGACAGCCTTCAGGTCATCCCTAAGGATGAGGCAGCATGCCCTTTATCCAAATTACTTAGCTCTAACCAGTTAGGGTGGAGGTAGTAGGTTAATTGTTGCAAGGCTGGTAAATAAGAACCACCTTACGTCTTTAAGTGGACAGTTTTCTACAATGAACATTTTAACAAAGGTAGTGTCCTGTAACAAGTACTCGTGGTTCAAGGTTGCAGGCCAGCAGGCGTCCAACCAGCTGCTGTAAAGTGGGTCCCACTCGTGATGACCCGTGCGTGTCAGCGTAGAACCGCGCTCCGTGGGGTTTTCAGGGGCTCATTTTCCAGCAGTGGGTCACCAGGCCTTCCTTCTTCTGGGTAGACTCGAACCCCAACTTCTGCCTGGGTAGCCTCGAACCACCAACTTTGCAGTTAGCAGCTGAGTGCGATGACTGTCTGAACCACCCAGAGCTCTCAGTAGTCATTACAACTGTCAGGTATTTTAGTATCCTAGGAGCGGTTTTTGTCCTTTCTCGTAAACAGACAGGGGATGCCTGGAGT